TGGATATACAGAGGAGAATCTAGGTTTTGTGGAAACTAGATTTTTGCAACCTGGACACAATGGTTTCCAAATTTTACAAAATTTTACGAAATCGCATAGAAAAACGCTAACACGTTGCTAAGACTCTTTCCAGACAAGAAGGCTTGAAGTTTAAGCTTCAGCCATCGCAGGGTAAATCCATGTGTGCATGTTTATTTACTGTAGGTCTTCTTCCAGTTGAATGCAAATTTCAAGAGGGCAAGGATTTTTACCTAAATTGTTAGCTCCTGCAACCCCGTTAGTTCCTAGCACATGGGAGAAGATTTATAACTATTTGTTGAAAAAACCACTTGGGGCTGGCACAGTTTTCCAGGTAGAGATGACAATGGCCAAGTCTGGGGCTTTTTTTTTTTTTTAAGATTTCATTTACTTGTCAGAGAGAGAGCACGCACAAGCAGGGGAAGCAGGCTCCCCACTGAGCAAGGAGCCCGATGCCAGACTGATCCCAGGACCCTGGGATCATGACCTGAGCCAAAGGCAGACGCTCAACCAAGACTTTTGAGGAGTGGATGGGATCAGGATGATCTCACTGAAGGCTCAGAACAGTGACCATAACACCCGTTTTAAAGCTGAGTATGCCAAGGGCCTGGAAGGTGAAGCAAGTGCCCAATGAGAAGTGGCACTGGGCCTAGAAGTCTGCCTTTTCTTGCCCCTCTTGGCCTGCAGCTACTGCCTCCCCACCCCCCACTCTCCAGCTGCCCCTTGCACAAGCCCCTGATGCAACTATGTATTAGCCCAAGGCGCCCACCTTGGGGGCAGCGCTGGGAAAAAGATTTTGCAAGAGCTGGGGCAGGAAGCACCAGCCAGGGTGGGTCTGGGAAGATAAGGGCTCCCCCTCCAACCACGTGTGCCTCCAGGCCTTTTGGTTTCCTCTCTTCCCTTCCCTTCCCTTTCCCGGACCCTGGCCTGGCCATGACTCACCTCCCTTTCCCTCTGGCAGCCCGGCTGGGATTGTAGGCCCGCCTGTCCCAGGAAAGCCTCGCTGTGTGACCCCATGCTGAGGATAGCCCTATCTGGCCAGGAGTTCCTGGAGCTCAGTATGAGTAGCTGGCACGGGTAAAGGTTATATGGCTGAGACTTAGTCTCAGGAGACAAAATGTGGGGGGCGCCAGGGCATCTCCTTATTAAGCCAACTCTGAGCTCTGGGTGACTCAAACAGGCAGGTATAAGACTGGTTGCATGTGAAGCACCCTTACCCCTATGGAGGGGAGGGTGTGCATGGAGAAGTGGGGGCCCGGTGACCCCTCAGCCTCTGGGACAGAAGTAGACATTTCCACCATTTGGTTGGTCGCTAACCGATTCAAGACCCGTGTCTAGCTGTGTGACCTGCTTCTCACGACCCGGTCACACAGAACCTGGCCCAGCACCTCTCAGAGGTCAACAGAGCCTCGGCCATTTCCAGCTTTTGAGGCTGTAGTTTTTTTTTTTTTAAAGAAATGCCAAAACGTGGGTTGCAAAAATTGTGATAGGTATTATGTGTCTTGCATTTTTCCAGCTTATGCATTTAAAACAAAAATATAGACTGACCAGGTATGATTTCAATTGGAAATATGATGAAACAGCTCAACTGGATGTCCTATGAGAACCTGAAGCCCCTCATAAGCCTTGATCGGACCAACCTGATTTCTGAAAAGCCCTCTAAGTCAGTGTCCTAGTGTGGCGTTCAGTGGGTCACCTCACCTCTCTGAAGGTGAACAGCTGAAAAGCAGAACTAGCAATGGCCTACAGGCCTGATGAGTCAGTCCCCACAGTAAGGGCTTAGAACATTTTACACCGAGGTACACGAAGTGTCCACTATGAGCCAATCACGGTGCTAAGCTTTTTTTTTCTTCTTCTTCTTCTTCTTTTTAGAACGGAGGGAAGGGGAGAGGGAGAGAGAATCCCAAGCAGGCTCTGCTCAGCACGAAGCTGGGGGCGGGGCTCGATCCTGGGACACTGAGATCATGACCTGAGCCGAAATCAGGAATTGGACGTTCAACCACAGAGCCACTGAGGCGTCCCATGGTGCTAAACTTTTTATGCGCCACTGGTTCAGTTGATCCGTGGAGCCACGGTTCTGGATCCCATTTCTCGGATGAGAAAACGGAGGCGGAAACAGGTGAAGTGATGAGCACCAAGGCTGATCCAGAGGCTGTGTTCTGGCGGCCTCCCGACTGAAGCGTGAGCCTATTATTACTGTTGTTGCTCTGGTTATTTTTATTGAAATGAGAATGATAGCATCGGTCTTGTACAGCTGTGAGGAGGATTAAATGAATTAAGTTTTAAAAGAGCTTAGTATGATACCTGGCACATAATAAGTGCTCCATAAGTGTTTGTTAAAGAAAATAAAAAAATATTTCAGGTTTCAGGCCCACAGCCCTGGGCAGGCAGGGTCCAATGCCCAAGAAACCCTGTCCTGGGGTTTCCGCATGGCCTCTGCCCTAGCTCCTCCCTGCACCCTGTCCAGGAGGGGTTAAGGAGTTAATGATTTCCCAAGCAGCACTGAAAGGAGCAGGGCTTTGCAACACACACACACACACACACACACACACACACACACACACACACACCCCTCCCCGGGGGTTTTGTGTGCTACACACGCACAGAGCAGGGCTTTGCATGATACATACACACACACAGCAGAGGTTTGGGTGCTACACACACATAAGAGTTTTGCATGCTCCATATACAGCAGGGTCGTGCGTGCCACACACACACACACACTGTCACGCCGCCCCTTGTGCCCCCCACCCCCACCCCGCGAGGCGAGCCTGATGCAAGCCCAGCGCCCGCCCGTTCCCAGGCCCGGCTGCAGCTGCGGGCGGAGGGGCAGGGCGGGGGCGGCGCTGTTTGTCTAGCGCGGCCGTGCCAAAGGCGGCGGGCCCCAGACAGCCAGGCGCCTCCGTACACCTGGGGATGCTCAGGTTAAATAGCTCCGCATTCCTCGGGCCCAGCTGATGGAAACGCTCCCAGGCCGCCGCCGAGCCGGCCTCCAGATGGGCTGGGCCCCGGCCAAAGGGGAAAAGAGGGAAACGTGGAAGCCAGAGTGCGCCTGAACGGGGGGGGGGGGGGGGGGAGGTGGCCGAGGCCCCCGCCGCAGCCCCTTCCTCTCCTGGAACGAGGCCCTGCCGCGTGTGGGAGGACGCGCGGGGGACACGCCTACGTGCCCGTGGGTGGGCTCGCAGCCGGGCCGCCCCGGGAGGGAATGGGTGCGCACGTGTGCCTCTGAGGACACTCCAAGGACACACAGGCGACAGTTAATAATGATAATTTGTAACTATCCAACGCTGTGTGCTAAATGCTCTACTCCGTTTATTCTCTACAATTCGGAGAGGTGAATGCTACAAAACAGCAGCGGGGTGGGGCGTTGAGTGGGGAGTAGCAAGGGGCATAATTTACCTCCAGATACTGTGTTCTTTAAGTCCATAACGTGCTTGGGGTGGGGTGGCACCTGGCTCAGTGCTAGTGCTCAGCGGGTGATGATCTTGCATTTGTCCCTGATGCTGTTCATCTCTTACAAGCCTCAGTTTCTTGTTGTAAACCTGGGATCAGAATCCTGCCTTTAGCCCCACAGGGATCCATGGGATCCCCTATGTAAAGAGTTGAGCATGGATCCGGCTGGTGGTGCTAGGTGCTATTTTATTCTATTTATTGACAAAATGCATTAATGGTCCTTGCCCTCTCTGGGATAAGACCTTTGCCCTTGCTGGGGCTCGGTTTTTCCCTGGGTACTACATGGGAACTGAGGTGGTAGGGATACTTGAGGGGTGGTGTCCCCAGGGCCTAACAATTGCTCAGAAGGTTGGTACTTGAACTTCTGAGGGAGGGTTTGCCTGAACACAGCTGCCCCCACCTCCAGACCAGCAGAGACCCAGGAATGCCAGCCAACTTACAGAACAATTACACACTTAGAAACCCATAGTGTGGTTCGGAAGCTCCCGGACACACAGACCCATCCATCAAGCCAAACCCATGCAGAGATGCCCATAATGCATTGAGGCAGAACACACAAGCCCAAACAGCTGGAGGTTGCACTTATCTGCAGAACACATGTGCTCACATTTGCCCTTCTGCATACACCCCCATGCTTATCCTTACCCACACCCCTAGGCCTCTCTACCAGTAGATGACCCAGCCCCAAAGGGGGGATCTGCCACTTATGTCACTAACACAGGCCCAGACACTCATAGGCACTCCCCCGTGTACAAACTCGCACATGTCCAGGCAGATAGTCCCTTGCCAATGACATCTTTCTCCTGCTCAAGAGCTGGGGACTGACTCCCATTCCTCCTCAGCCCACACGGGAACCCTGGGGGAGAGAGGTCTGTGTGAGCTGTTCGCATACCCAGGCCAGGGTGAGGGGGCCAAGCCTGGACCCAGAGCAGGTGGCCCAGCAGCTGTGCCCAGGCTGGCCCTGCCAACTTGCTCACCCACTTGGACAAGCTGGGAGCCCCGGGGCTGCCTGCTACAATCCAGGGCTAGATAGCCCAACAGGGGAAGCACCTCCTACTGGGGAATGGGGCGACAGAAGTCCTGCCTCAGATAAACTCTGGGCAAGTCTTTCCTCTAGGTCTCCCCTTCCCCTATCTTGGTAAAGATGGAGGCGGCTCTGTCACCTGGTTCTCCAACTTACACATAGCCTGTGGAATACTCAACCAAGAGGGGAACTTGGCAGGTTGATCTGCATTTTAACAACCTCCCCAGGTGGCCCAGATGGCCCAAGACCACTTGGAGAGACCCTAGAGGTCTAGAGGATTTAATTTTATGGCACCGGAGAGCAGGGAAATGGCCAGTGATGGGGAAAGAATGGACTTTAAAGACACCGGAAAACGCTCAGTTCAGGTCGGTAAAAGCGACAGTCCAGATGTGGCCTTCTAGTCCCCCTCCCCCCTCCCCAGCACCAGCTGTGAAAAGGGTCAGGGGTCACCCGCATCCCAAGGCCCTCCCCTCAATCCAAGAAATCACTGCAACTTTAGCGCAGTCTAAAGTATTTGTTTAATAACAACAACAACAACAACAAAAAAAAACCACCCCACAGAACTATTGTAAAACAATATTCTCGGTGATCATTGTAATATACAATACAAAGCAATTAATTTCCTCAGAAATCTGAGAAGCACCAAACGTGACCATTTTTTAAAATGTCTGCTTTTCAAAAAATAGAAACACACGGGGGGTCCCCCAAGTCTCTGGTATCTGGTAGGTGTGGAGGGAGGGTCGGCCTGCCCTCGTCAGTCCCCCGGCCCTGGGCTGGATCCAGCAAGCGCCCCACGGTCGCTGATCTCAATCTTGTTCCTCCCCAGCTCCGGCAAGGCGCTCGGCAGGATCAGAGCATGAATTCTTCTCGCCCCCTGGAGGGCTGGGGTCCGCCAGTCCTTGAGAGAGGCGCTTCAGCGACACAAGATGCGATCGTCCGCCGGGACACATGCCGCCTGTGAAAAAGAGAGGTGAGACAGGCGGCTCGGAGGGGACAAGGCTGCAAGCCCTTCCCCAGGAGACACTGTGAGAGAGCGCTTTTTCCGATCTCCTTGGGCATCCTTGCATAGCCAGGTGCCCGAAAGGATGGGACGGACGTAGAGCCAAATACCCCCCCCACCGCCTCCCTTTGGGCCTCAGTTTACCCATCTGTAGAAAGAAAATGTTCCCGCGCTCCAGTTCGGATCTCACCTCGGCCGCCAGGGCACTGATCTCGCCGTTGAGGGTGCTGAGCGGAGCCCGGGCAGGGAGCCCCCGGCCTCCAGGGGTCCCGACTTGAGATTCCGAGTTCAGCTCCAACTCCAGGTCCCAGATGTAGTCGATGACGTGCTGGAGGATCTCCACCCGGCTCACTTTGCGGTTCTGGGGCAGGGTGGGCACCAGCTCCTTGAGGCGCGAGTAGCAGCCATTCATGTCGTAGAGCAGCACGTTCACCTGCTGTTCGTCGAGCAGGGCGGGCAGGCGCGCCCCGGCGCCCCCCGCGCAGCGCGAGATGGCCACGCTCTGCTCGGACAGACAGCGCACCACCTCGCCCGCACCGCCTGCCGTCTTGCCGGCCTTCAGCGCGCAGCTGGGGCCCGCGGCGGCCGCGGCACTGCCACTGGCGACCTTCATGATTCTGGCGTCGGAGTAAGAGAAGGGAGGCGAAGCGTACGGAGGACGCGGACGCCGGGCGAGAGCAAAAACCTCGTAGTGGGGAGAAGACGGTTGTAGAATGCGAAGGCCGAGCCCCGCAGCCGTTCTTATAGAGACGCCGCAGCTCCCCCCGCCCACCCCGCCCAGTGCCCCAGCCGCCAGAGGCGGGCTCAGAGGTTCAAAAGCAGCCAATGGGCGGTCTTGAGGTGTGGCCTCCGGTGCCTCTGGGTCCCGCCTCCCGCTCTACTAGTGCACCCTCGCGGCCTTGGAAAGGGAACCCGAGTCTCAAGAATAGAGAGTGGGAGGGCACGGGGCGGGGTGGCTAGTGGAGGCGAGAGCTACCTTGGGCTTCTCGCAAAGGGGGCATTGCGGACAACGAAAAGACTTCAAGAATCAGTTTTCTCAGGTTCATTTTCTCACCTCTCCAGCCCCATTTTACAGATGAGAGAAACTGAGGCTCGGATGGGGAAGCGGCTAGCTCTGGGTTATCTAGAGAGTACAGGACTAGAGCCTGGGCTTCTGGGAGCCTGACCTCCCGGCTCTTTGGGCTGAAACTTAAAGCGGGCCCCCCTTTACACTCTGCTCCCCAGAACCAGTCTCCCTTACTCAATTCCCAGAGAAAGTTGCTGGTTAATGTTTCTGGAACCAGGGAGGCTTTACCCAGGCCCCTCGGGGTGGGAGCAACTAATTCCGGAAAGTCTTCCTCTGGGATTGGGAGCGGATCCTCTGGGACATGAACTGGATAGAAGGCGCCCAGAGAGGAGCTGCACCCCTGATGCTATCCTGAATTTGCATCCCCTGCAAAAATTCCCCAAATCTGCATCAACTAGTGATTTTAGAATTTTTCTCCCTTTTTTGGCTGTTTCCTGTCCCTCCTCCCCCTCTCCCCCCAAAGACCTCCGATCAGGGTCTCCCTCCCACGGCGCGGCAGCTGCGGAGCTCGAGTCTCCCCCCCACACCTCCCGGGCGGGTCTGTGTCAGCGTCTGAACAAGCGGCTCAGACCGTTAGACGCCAGGCCCGTGACGTCACCCATTCATAAAACCGGGACGGGCTGTCAGGCTGGCGCCGCGCGGGCGGTCGCCATGGAGACAGCAAACCCGGCTAGAGCGCTCCCCCACTGCGCCGCGCTCGACCAGTCACCTGCGGACCTCTGGCGGGAAGCTGGGAATGCGCTCCTCGCGGGCGCGGTCGCTGGGCAAGGGTCACCTTACCTCCCGGGCTCCACACCTGGGACTCGCCCCCCCAGGCTCACACCTCAGACCACTGGGACGTTTCTTCACCTCCTCCGCCGCACCCCTAGCTTCCCCCTCCCGCTGGCGGAGAGTTCTGATCCCAACTCTGCTGCTGGGTGAAGTTAGTTGTCTCCGACCCTCTCTGATTCCTAATACAGTATTTGCCTGGTATTTTGATAATAATGACAGAAGTGGTTTATCGATCTCTTAGTTCTTGCAAGGCACTGTGTACTTCACTGTGTGAAGCCTTTGCTTTTATCATCTGTAACCCTGGCCACAGCTCTAGAGGGGAGCTCTTCGGTTTCTTTCTTTCTTTCTTTCTTTCTTTCTTTCTTTCTTTCCTTTCTTTCTTTCCTTCCTTCTTTCAAGATTTTATTTATTTGAGAGAGAGAAAAAGCAGGCCCCCCCACTGAGCAGGGAGCCCAATGCGGGGCTCCATTCCAGGACCCCGGGATCACGACCGGAGCCGAAGGCAGACGCTTAACCAACTGAGCCACCCAGGTGCCCAGTTCTTTGGTTTCTTTATGCAAAGGAGGAAACTGAGGCTCAAAAAGCCTCCCAAGAGCCATAGCTATTGTAATGGCTGCATTATTATAACAGGGACACTGTATTGTAATGCAATCTCTTCCTGCCAGGGTAGGCAGTCTGCCTCCAGAGCCCTAGATTGGCCAAAGCGGGGGACACGGAGGTTTAGAATAGCCACCCGAGGGCACACAGCTCTAGCAGGACTAAAATACTGTGCCCACCAAGGAGAGAGTTGATATTATGCTTATGGTCCCTCCCCCTCCTCCCCACCCCCCAGCAATTAATTCACTGGGTATCAGCAGGTTTCCTTTTCCCCCAGAAGTCTGAGGCAAGGGCCAGTAAACCTGGCCTCTGCCTCCACGTGGGGGAACCAGGAAAACTGATCAGTGAGATCAGCTTCAAAGGGGAGAAACATTATTAATTAATTAACTGGACTCCTCATCCCCTTTACCACACCCCCCAAACTCTCCAAACTCCCTAAGCCTTGTTTAGTAATCTTCTAATGACTGGAGAGAACATTTTCCTGTGCAAAACTATTGCTAAAGAATTGGAAAGACAATGACCAGCCAGAGGAAATTAGAATATTAATTCATTACCCAGTGTTTATTAATTGACCCAGCAATTCTAGTTGCTGGCATCAATTCCAGAGAAACCTACACACATAGACACAAAGATGTCTGCCCGAGGATGTTCACTGAGGTTCCCTATTTTCAAGAGGGGAAGTCAAAGTAACCTAAATGTCCTTCAACAGGGGCATTATATGAACTATGAATGAAACATATACACTATGAATGGAACATCCATGCTGTGGAATGTCTATGCAGCAGGTGGGATTCTACTGTTGGTGGAGAGACCAAGTGTTAGACTGGGGGTCAAGGTAGGACCTTTTACATGTAAAAAAGCAAACATACTGCTCCCAAGTACAAGTGTATCTGTAAATAAATTTTTTAAAAAGGCAATCAAGGTGTGGGAAAAATTTCAAACACAGTCTGTGTGATGTCTCCTATATGAAGTTCTAGAATAGGCACAACTAATCTTTGGTGAAAGAAATCAGAATGGTGGTTGCTTGCCAGGGAAGGGGTGTGAGGGAACCTTCTGGAATGATGGAAATGTTCTATATGATGATGAGGTGTGTGGTACACAGTGCATGAATTAGTCAAAACACACTGGATTATATACTTTCGCACATTTGTATTTAAATTGCACCTCAATAGGAGTGCCTGGCTGGCTTAGTTAGTGAAGCATGGGACTCTTGATCTTGGGGCTATGAGTTCAAACCCCACGTTGGGTGTAGAGATTACTTTTAAAAAATTAAAATAAATAAATAAATTGCATTCAACAAAAAATATTAGAAAGCAAAAAAAAAAAAGATAAACAAACATCAAATTCCTGATATCACTCACCACTGTGAAGACTGAGGGAAGAACAACAATGTGAAGTAGGACCTTCACTCTTATCTTCACATAGGTATTTCATTCTTACATTTTTCCCTTAAACAGTGTTATTGAAGTGTAATTGACGCACGCTAACTGCATATATTTAAGGTGTACAATTTGATAACTTTTGACATGCATATATACCCATGATCCATCACCACAATCAAGAACATTAACATATACTTCCTCAGCTTTTTTTTAATATAAAGATTTTATTTATTTGACAGAGAGAGAGAGAACAGGAGCACAAGCAGGGGGAGTGGGAGAGGGTGAAGCAGACTCCTCGCCAAGCAGGGAGCCTGATATGGGGCTCGATCCCAGGACCCTGGGACCATGACCTGAGCAGAAGGCAGACGCTCAATGACTGAACCCCCCAGGTGTCCCTAATCTGCATTTTTCTAATGACTCAAAGATGTTGAGCTTCTTTTCATGTGTTTATATGTCATCCATATATCTTCTTAGGTGAAGGGTCATTCACTTGTTCGTTAAAAAAAAAAACATTAGATAATTGTAGAATCACATGTAGTCATAAGAAATAATACAGAGGGGCGCCTGGGTGGCTCAGTTGGTTAAGCAACTGCCTTCAGCTCAGGTCATCATGATCGAGTCCCGCATCGGGATCGAGTCCCACATCGGGATCCAGTCCCACATTGGGATCCAGTCCCGCATCGGGCTCCCTGCTCAGCAGGGAGTCTGCTTCTTCCTCTGACCCTCCCCCCTCTCATGTGCTCTCTCTCTCTCTTTCTCGCTCTCTCAAATAAATAAATAAATAAAATCTAAGGAAAAAAAAAGAAATAATACAAAGAGATCCCTTATAGCCTTCACCCAGTTCCCGCGATGGCAGCTTCTGGCAGTACAATATTCCAACTGCATTTCACCAGCTTTACTAAGCGTATTCATTTGCATGTGTTTAGTTCTATGCGATGTTATCACACATGCCGATCCACGTGACCACTGCCATGGTGAAGACACAGAACAACAATTCCATCACAGAGGTCCCTCGTGCTACCTGTCAAATCTTTTGCCCGTTTCTTTTCATTTGTTTGTTTTCTTCTTATTGAGTTATAAGAGTTCTTTATATATTTTGTACAAAAATCCCCAGACATAGGATTTGCAACTATTTTCTCCAGTCTGTGTCTGTCCTTTGCATCCTCTTAACAGTATCTTTTGAAGAACAGAAGTTTTAAATTCTGATAAAATCCAATGTATCAATTTTTTATTTTATAGCTCACGCTTTTCGTGTCATATCTAAGAAATCGCTGCCTCACTCAATATCACAATATCCTATATTTTCCAGACGTTTTATAGGGTTAGGTTTTACATTTCAGTCTATGATCGATTACACATGGGCATTTCTTGAATATATTCATATTTAACTTAATTTATTTATTTGAGAGAGAGAGAGCAAGTGAGCATGAGCAGTGGGGAGGGTTGGAGGGAGAGAGAGAAGCAGGCTTCCCGCTGAGCAGGGAGCCCGACGCGGACTCAATCCCAGGACCCTGGGATCATGACCTGAGCCGAAGGCAGACACTTAACCAACTGAGACACCCAGGTGCCCCTCTTGAATATATTTTTAAACAAAAATGTACTCATGTACTACTTTGTGTAATAAAAAGCCAGCTCTCAATGTTTAGTGTACCTCCTTCTAGTCTGACTGCTGGTCAGGATGAGACTGAATGTCAATGACACTTTGCAGACAAATAGAAAAGAAAGTCAAGGGACAATTGGGACCCCCAGTAGTTAAATGCACTTAACATTCATGAACACCCGCCTCCTGCCAGGTCCGGTGCTGGCCGCGGGGCCCTAGAAAGGAATTATTCTCACATCAAGACTATATTATGAAAATTTCCCGCTAGGTGCCTT